AAACAATTCACGCTAAGAACTTTGCATCCATCGTAGTTGACCTTTCTAACAAAAAAGACAGGGACACGTTGCTGAGTCTGAAGTCGGTCTTCCTTTTTAACACCAGATGCACAATCACACCCTATGAGGACCGTGTACAGGTATATGCATGCAGCAAGTGTGGTATGCTTGCCCACCGCACAGCCAACTGCAACCAGACAAGGTGCCTGAAATGCGGTGCGAAAGACCACAAAACCGAGTCTCACCCCGAGAATGCCGAACACCACTGTGTCAATTGCAAAGGGGAACACGAAAGTTCACACAAGGACTGCAGAGCCAGGAGAGGCCGCATGGGACTACCCCTAGCACCGAAAAACACACCAACGCCAAAACACACCCTGCCAACTGAACAACCGGCAAAGAAAAAAGGGAAAGGTAAGCAAAAAACAGTCCCTGCCCAAACCACACCAGACGACCCCCCAGACTTTGGTCTCTCAGACCAAGACCTGAGCAAAATACTGAGTCAACAGCAACCGCCCGAGGCCCAAAAGGCCTTGGCTGCCAAAATGATCAGTGCAAGAGCCAGGGGGGAGTAGCTCCAATCCCGCCAATAAAGATCCCCCGCGCAAAACCAAAACCAACTGACGATAGTATGGTAATCGAACCGTTGAGCCAACTCCAAGGGCAAACTCAATGAATCGACAAACCAAAATAGCAACCACACTGACGGTGTGCAGTCTAAACGTCAACCACTCTAATGTGGCCACACAAGCCGCGATGCACAACATAGCCAACCGCAACAAACCAGCCATCGACATCTTCTTAGTCCAGGAGCCCTGGTGGCACAAAGTGAACAACACTTACATTTCAGTCGCCCTCAAGGGGTGGCAAACCATACTACCCAAACAACCTATCGCTGAAGGCGACAGACCCAGAACAATAGCATACTACCGGAAAGACGCTAACATGGAACTAACTTTGAGGAACGACATAGCCTCAGACCTCGACTACATGGTACTAGATGTAAAAAGGAACGGCTCTACGCAACAACCAGTTAGGCTCATAAATATTTACAACCAAAAAACACTCGTAGCAAATCAGAGAAAAGAATACACAGCGGAAAGACTGGCAGAGACCATGTTGGACACGGACATTCCAACCATCCTCACGGGTGACTGGAATATCCGCCATCCAGACTGGGATGACCGGATCGAAACACCGTGCCAAAGAACCTTGGAAACTATTGAATGGCTCGAAGGGGGCGCGTTCACCCTATGCAACGAACCATTTGTACCAACATGGGAAGACAACAGCGGCCACACATCAGTGATTGACCTTACCTTTTCCAATGCCGCAGCCAACAGAGCTGGGGCCATCTCCGGTCACTATATCAACACAGAAATTGGTTGTCTATCGGACCACCATGCCACGATCTTCCAACTGGGCCCACCCAGAGAACAGGTCATAAACCCATGTGAAACCAAACTAAACTGGAAACATGCCAGTAAAGAAGAGTTCACAAAGGCACTCACAGAAGAGTTAGCCCACAATGCCCAAAAGATCAAAAGCCTGAAGGGTGAATTACTCAATGCAGACCAACACACAGCGTCACCCGAATCACTAGAGGAAGCCACCACCCTGATCCACAAAATGGTGGAAAAAGCAGCTGAAAGATCTGTACCTCACAGACGCCCAAGCAAGGCATCTAAACCATGGTGGAATGAGGACCTATCTAAGTCATACCGTGAACTGAGACAGATGAGAGAATCCCTAAAAGGATGGGTGAAAGACTTCAACCGCCCATCGCTATACCTCGCGGAAAAAGTAAAACACCTACACAAGGACATCTGCACACAGATCAGGAAAGCCAAACAGGCTCACTACCGCAAACTCACAGAGGAAGCCAATCACAGCAACCTGTGGGACTTCTGCAAGTGGACAAAAAGCCAAAGAACATACATTTCACCCCCCATCCTAAACAGAACAGACCAACTCGCAGTCAGCCATAAAGAAAAATGTAACATACTCCGTGAAAACCTCTTCCCCCAACCACCATCACTACCACACTCCCCAAGTATCAACCTGACCCCACGCAATGACGACATGGAATATGTAAGCGTGACGAAGGGCGAAGTCCGCGACTCCATATTCACTGCTGCCCAACTAAACACCCCAGGTATCTCAGGCCTGACGGGCCGTGCATGGAGATGGGCCTGGGACATAATGGAAGATGAAATCTTCCACCTACTGAGACTCTGCGCCGACTCGGGTTACCACCCTAAAGCATGGAGAACATCCATTGCGGTAGCACTGCAGAAACCAGGCAGAGACTACTCACTCCTCCGATCCTACAGACTAATCCAACTGTTGGAAGTGTCAGGAAAAGCGCTAGAGAGGATCCAAGCACGGAGACTGGCCTTCTTAGCGGCAAAACACCAACTCTTCCCAAACACCCAGTACAGAGGACTACCAGGCAGATCAGCACAGGACGCCCTGCTTACCATCACGCATGACATAGAAGCTGCATGGAACCACAACAAAGTGGTGTCAATGCTCACCTTCGACATCACCGGCTTTTTCGACTTCATCCCACACACGCACCTGCTAGACACGATGAGGAAACTACATATCCCCACCCCCATCGTGAGATGGACACACAGCTTCCTATCGGAGAGGAAAGCAGCAATCTGCCTTGATGGCAAACGCGATAAGCTCAAACCCATAACAACAGGCGTCCCCCAGGGTTCATGTGTATCCCCGATCCTCACGGCCTATTTCACTTCCCTGATGTGCAAGGCTATAGCCGAGGAAACCACAAAGAAAATAGAAGGAGACCCAGAGCTAAGCCCGCAATACAACAAAGGCATAATAAAACTATCACCACTAACGCTTTATGTAGATGACGGCTCACTGGCGGTGTCAGCCCCATCTAGAGCAGAAGCAACAAAGGTGATCCAGCTGGTGTTTGTTGCAGCACACAACTGGTTAAAGCAGAGAGGACTAAAGACCGACCAGGTGAAGAACGAACTTATGCACTTCACCAAAACCAAGACCGGCAGAAATGCAGGTCCAGGCCCGTCAGTCACTATCCCCTCGAACGAAGAAGGCGCAACCAGAACAATCCACCCATCCAACCTTATGAGATACTTAGGTATCTGGTTCGACCCACACCTCAAGTTCATGGAGCACATAAAAAAGACAGCCGCGAAAGCTTCGGGCGCGGCACACGCACTAAGGATGTTAGGAAACTCCGAGAGAGGCATACACCAAACACATCTCCGCCAGATGTACATAGGTGCTGTACTCCCAATAGTCTTATACGGCCTACCCATCTTCTGGCGATCAAAGCACGGCTTAATTCTCAGAACTTTATCTACTCTACAGAATAAATGTCTGAGAATGCTAACAGGCGCTTTCTGCACGACCAGCATCACCGCAATGGAAATAGAGGCCTCCATTCCCCCCATCGACATTTATCTAGATTACAGAATGGAAATGGAGGCAATTAGACTCGCCCACATCCCCAACGACCACCCGCTGATCAATAGACTCTACCCACACCAAAGAAGACTCACCACTCCAACTTCCCCCCCACCTCTCCCAGTCTTCGACCCGCAGAAGAAATACAAGTCCGACCCACGAAAGCGCTTCTCAACCTGCATCACCCGCATCGTGCAACACATAATCCCGGGCACGGAAAGAATAAGGCCACTCCTTGAAAGCCCATGGGACACATCTGCACATGACATCACCGACCGAATCCAACTCTTCACCCCGCCAGACGACCCTGGAAACTCATTCAAACAGGAATGGGCTGACGACCACATGAACTTCATCGCGGAGTGTGAAGATGACCCAAACACACTCCTCGTCTACTCAGACGGATCCCGATACAAAGATGATGGCAGAATCAAAACTGGCTTTGTGTCAGAACCGTGCGAATCCTCGCCAATGGTAGCCATAGGCGACTGAGCGTTGCCCGCTAGTGGGATAGGCGTCCTACACACGACCGAGCTTTAGCGAGGAATAAACCCCACCGATCTCGAGGCTGAGGCTACTTAGGCGAGTGAGCCGGGATTTCGGCTTCAACGACTCGAGGAGGAGCGCTGCGCCTCGTTCTCGACGCGGTCCCGATACTTCAGAAAGTCAGAGGTCTCATGGGGGACAGAGGTAAGCTTAGGGGGTGAATTCTAGTTGATTTCGAACTACAGTACAAGCATTAGTTACAAGCTGTATATAAGCGCTAGGGAACTGAATGGGGAATAAGTCGCCAGATCTCGCGGAGATTGCGGGCGGAGAAAGGAAAGAGGAAAACAAACAAAGAGCACGTGTTCAAGACAGCGAAGGTCAAGCGTGACCTTTGCCGCGAGGTAACAAGGTGCGGCGAAACATGGAACAACAGGTCGCAGCGCTCTGCGCCGCTAGGTCATTCAACGACAATCAAGGGAGGGGTTGTGGAGAGGTGGCGGGAAGTGGATAGACGGCGACGGGCGGCGAGCGGAGTGTGCGGGGAGTGTTCGGGCGTGGGAGAGGGTCAGGGAGGAGGTCGTCTGGCCCTGGGGAACGCCGGGTCGTGACGCTTTGGCGCAGTAGGATACTCACACGGCAAAGTTGTCTTCGAAGAGAAAGGAGCAATGGGCGAACACGTTGAAGCCTATGACGCAGAGATGATGGGCCTGAAAACAGCCGCAGATGGAATCAGATGCACCCTAGATGATGGTAACGTCACCACAAAACCCACCCGCATTGTCATATACGCAGATAATACTAGCGCACTAAAACGCGTCTTTCAGGGTAAACCTCGCAAGGCCCAGGAACTAGCCAGGGACTTCAGGAGTACCATATGCAAAGTCCTAACAGACTCTGAGGAGACGAAAATCGCATTGCACTGGTGCCCAGGCCATCTTGGAATTCCGGGGAACGAGAGAGCTGACCAGCTAGCAAAAGAAGGTGCATGACTTAGACCAGCCCGACCCAATTTTAAATCACTCTCATACATAGAGAGCCTGCGCAGGAGAGAGATGGCCGAAACATGGACTCACCGATGGACGAACACACCGAACCCCCTGAGATCGGGCTTCTACGCAGCGAACCAACTCGCACCGAAGCTCAGACCCACCAAATGGTTCAGAAAACTCGACAGAAAACCCTTCAGCCACGTAATCCAGTTCCGAACAGGACATGCTCACATCGGCGAGTACTACCACCGATTCAGAATTGTGAAAATACTAGCGTAGTTTAACTCAGTCTCAAGCTGAATAGCGTGGAGAACTGAGGAAAAAGGAAATGAATAGAAAGAGCGGGTATGTCCGTATAGTCGGTAGCGGATAATTCCGCGATAATAGAAAAGGGAAAAGTATTCATTTACAGGTCAGGTGAAAGTCACCTGGTCAGAAACCTCCGGAACGCGCGCTGCACTCCAACAGGAATCACAACGGAGAATAGAGCATGTCAATGCGGTAAATCAACACAAACGAGGGTCCACATTCTGACGGAGTGCCCCCGGACAAGCAGACACAGATACCTACTAGGACGCGGAAACCAGACGAAATTCCACATCCTCATGGGCAAGATGAAAGGCATAGAAAGGCTTGCCAATTTCATCAAAAAGTCCAAGACAGGCGACAAACCAACGACAACAAACACACCGCGAGGACCGCCATCGCCTGACCGACTCACAGGATAGACGAAGCAGAACAGGACTTGCAGGGGACAGACGGAACCTCTTCATTTTTTCCATTTCTTATTTTTATTTTTTATCACCACGACAATACCTATGGACATCACAGAACCCGAGGATCATTGACACCCAAATACACCACCCAGAATACCACCATGTATAGATATTCCCCCCATGTACGCTCCGGTGTTAGGACGGGATAGCCGCACTGCCACGTCATCACGAGGCCGCGGGGTATTAAGATAGATTTATCATCATCATCATCATCCATTCTGCATGCAGTCACTCCTTTTATTCCAGTCGCAGTCAAGTTCAGTTCTCGTCGCCTGCGCATTGAACATTATCCCACTGCGGTTCGGGCAGTAGGCAGCGCTGTTCATCTCCCTATTGTTGACCTTATGCAACTGCGGCTCAGTGCTAATTATTGCCATTTGCAAAATTCGAGATTCAAAATTCCGCAAAATCTTTCACGTCACTGCTCACTCAAAACTCGACCGATTTTGGCGATTTGACATGCATTGGAAAGCGTCCAAGTAGCGCTTCATGATTGTTCGGATGGCGCAGCAATATGAGAAGATTTTTTTTCTTGCCGATTTGCACATGAACAGTGGAATAGTATCGTGATTTGAGTGCAATGTTGTGCGCACATGTCCTTTATTTAGCACTTTCTGAACATCACAACATTAATATTAGATTATGGAGGCAATGGACATGACATTGGCACTGGGGATGAGTCTGAAGTACAGCCACCAAAATGCGTGACAAATTGGTAAATCATCTGAGTTCGGATTCTCACAACTGTACAGTTCCGCCTCTCTTCTTACTCCCATCTACATGTCCACATGGTCACAACAAGAGGAATGCGACGGGCAGTGGATGTGCCACCACCGAGCGAATCTGATCCCACCGCCACTCACGCAGTAGTGACTGTGGCTAAGCCCATGGTGAATCAGAAACAACGCGGTAGGCGTCGAAAAGAAATGCCACCGCCTGAGATCGTCAACCCCCTTCCTGTGGGCCTGGTGGTTGAGGAACCAAGTGAGCCCCAGGTTGTTTCCTCGGTTCCTGCCCTTGTTTCCCCCATTCTCGCCCCCATTTCTCCTATTCTCGCCTCTGCCGCTGACCCTCCCGTCGTGAGGAAGACCAGAAAGCCGCGCACTAAAGCCAAAGCAATTGAGGCTGACCAAACAGAGCAGATTGGCATTCCAGAGTACACATTTGCGGTCGCAAATGCGCGAATAATTCAAGAAATGCCTAAGGCACCCAGCGGTCCTGCCACTTTGGGCGCAGTTAACCCAAAAGAAGTTATAAATGTCAAGCACGAGAACAAAAAGCTGCAAGTTGCAGCGAAAGTTTCCGCAGTCATTCCTGACTCCGACTATGCGATGATGAGTGAACTTGAAGATCTATCTAGTGATGAATCTGAGATCACTGGTGCGCTGGGCGCAGACGATGCTCCGGCGCTAGTCCAAGAGGAGGCAGTTGAAGGTGAGTGCCAATTCTCATTCCTCACCCCGCTGAGACTGGTGTCATTCATGTTTACCTACTCCTATAGACTACATTATAGACTTCGAAGTTGAGACTGACGATGTCGTCAAACTTCTTCGACTACCCATATCTATGTCATGGTGGACATTCCAGGATCAGATTGCCGAGACAATGGGCTGCCATGAGACCCGGCTACGCTTGGGCTATAGGCTCAGCACTGCAAGAGCGGGAGAGAAGGCACACAGCCTCGAGACACTGGACGAGTATTCCGAAATGCAACAAGAAATAGTCTCGGAACGCGAGAAACGGGTGGTCCTCCAGAAAAAGGCGTCCAAGATGAAGCCTCCGAAGGCGTTGAAAGTGTTGATTAAGGACAGGCGAAATAAGGCTGAGAAAAAGGTGTGAGAGTAGATAGATGTTCAAGAATCTCATGCAACGCTAATGCTAACAAATTTGTAAGACCATCGCGAAACCAAAAACCGCCTCAAAAACTTCTTGTGCTAAGCTCAATAATAGTGTCGGTCCAGACTTGGTTGAGTCCACATCGGCAACATATATGCGGCAACTCACAAACAAATACGGCAATTGTAATCAACATGGAGGGGAATCCTGTTTTGTCCGGCCTGATGGGACTCATCGGCACTTGACTATTGCAGAGCTCACTTTGTGGGCAATTTCCATCGTAAGTCTGATATTGGTTTGCTTGCTATGTAAAACTTATGACTACATAGGAATTGCACTGTGCAACCCTCTCGGTTCCTCCTGACTCGCTCAAACTTTCAAGTGAGAACGATACCCGTCCTCCCAAACCCAGCAAGTCTTCTGGCCCTAAACAAACACCTGGTGCGACATCTGGTTATCCACCACCACCAATTCCAGGTGCCATGTGGCCATATCCCACAGGATTTGCGCCGTTCAATACCGCCGTGCCTCAGGCATATGCAAGTCACGATGCAGGTGTAAATCCCGGTGCAATTCCAATCCGTCAGTTCGCATTTTAGGATGATCTCATGTGTTGCTCACTGTTGGTTCTGTTTATAGCGCCAAATTTACGCTACATGTCAATTGAAAAACTCCTTGAAGTGCTCGATGAAGAAGAACTGCCGCCAAAATCTCACCTCGCGATGAAGTACAAAGAGCAGTTTGCATCACACGGCTTTCGCACCATCTACGATTTGACTGATACCGATTATCTCAGCCCCAAAGTACTTAGTGAACTCCTTGAGCCTAAGCCTCCCTTTGCAACCTGTGTACGCATCATAAGGCGTGCGAAGGATGAAGTACAACACACTCAAGATGCTTATCTGTCTGGCGATAGGTCGGTTCTCATCTAGTACTTGATTTCACAACCGCTTCACACCCTCAGTTCCCCTTTTCCCATGCGAATATATACCTTTCATGTAAATACCTTGCATTTTTTCATTCAGTCCATGCTCTCCAGGTGGCGGACGCTATTCTCAATGTTTGACCGATCACGTGTTACAAGCCAGGCCTGTTGCAGCGTGCATGTGGTTCTCCAAGTTGGACTGTTTTTCATTATTCCGCAGGCTCTCGAACATTATGAAGATCTGGCCGATATCAAGGGCATCATCGTCCACGCTAAGATTCTCAGTCCGGATGTACGTCAGTTCCCTTTCTGTATGATCTAGTGGGTTTAGTCGACTCACCATTGATCAATCATTTGCTTGTATGAACAAGATGCTTCGCATATCCAGGCCGTTACTTGGACTGGCCAGATCTGCGAGGTCGAACGAATTTGCCACGAGAGCAATTACTACAATCCAGAATTTCCTCAAGGAATCGAAACTTTCCAATCAACTCCCGCTTATCATTGTCTGTTTATCAAAATGGATCGGTCAAGTTTATGTTCAACACGTCAACACTGCCCGCACACCTCAGGTTGTAGGCGGCCTCCTGGACGTTGACTGCGACGAAGCGACTATCAAAAGTCTTCTCACCTCCATTGTTGGAATTTTCCCCATCAATAAGCTCGCTGAGAAACGTAATCACCTCAAACCCATTCAGCCTTGGGTTGAGGAACCAAATAATGTGCGTGCCAGACCCTTTAGCCACCTTCGTGCACACTCACCAAAAATCCCAATTATATCCGCCTTTGGTTGTTGGTAAATATTGCGAGGCCCGCAATCCATACCTTGCATACATTGCCCATGTGAAGGGCTTTTGCGATGGCATCACAAATGCTAACTCCATGTTCAAACGCCAAGCTCGCTACTTGGTGAAGCGTTGTCATCTCAAACTTCGGGCTCACGTACTCGTCCCTAGCAATGGCCATCGCCATCAGCTCCTTGACCAGGTCTGTCCCATCTGGTCATCCATTGATAAGTACTTAACACACTCTTGAATCGGGGTTACTGCTGTTGCCATCCCTGAGGCCACTGACCTGGATGATGTGTCAGCGACTGTCGAGGCGTTCATGGCCACCGATCTTTCCATCGAACTGATCGAGATGTTGGAGAAGATTGTCATTGAATCCTCACCTCTCAGCGAAAACAACAACCTCCAAAATCTTTTACTCCTCAGTGCCATCCGCTCCCATAGGGCTAAGGTGGATGGCTACATCCACAAACTCACCAACTACGACCACTTGGATATCGCCTGTATTGTGACTGACAATGGTTTATACAAAGAAGCGTTCTGAGCAGGGGGTAAATTATGCCAACAAGGTTGACTGTCTGGGCCCGGCTTGCCAAGGCTCAGCTCAATGGATTGCGCATCAAGGATTCGATTGGTAAGTAGAAATCGTCCCCAGAATGCGATTTGTGCTTATCCATGCGTCTGCCAGACTCGTACATCAAGGCTGGCGATCCCTCCAACTTCCTTGAGGTTATTGAGATCGCTAATCGTGCTGGCAAGCAAGACGACCTCGTCCGCTATCTCCAAATGGCACGCAAAACTCTTTGTGAACCGAAGCTCGACACCGAGTTGGCGTATGCTTATGCCAAGACAGATCGTCTCCACAACATGGAAGATTTCCTTGGCATGACGAATGTGGCCGACATTTTGGATGTTGGAGAGAAATGCTTCAACGGTGAGCTTTACCAAGCTGCGAAATTATTGTTCAGCAGCATTTCGAACTGGGCTCATTTGGCGACAACACTCATATATCTCGGCGAGTATCAGGTGGCAGTTGAGAGTGCTCGCAAGGCCGGTAACACAGAGTGAGTCACGTCGGTACATATATCCTGTTTGCCATGCCAAAAAGCTTTGCTGTAGAGATTTTATACAAACTACACATTGATAGCCACAAATCTGTGGTCTGAACATCATCGTGCACGCCGTACGTATTCTCGATTAACTCCCCAGAGGCCTCGTTGCTCATCTGCCCACCATATCAGGAGGAATTGTCTGCTGTCATGAAGCTCTACGAACATAATGCTGATGTTTTGGATAGATGGGTATTTTCACAGAGCCAGCCATCCTATATTCTAAATATCGCCCAGAGAGATGTAGGTGCAGAGACTCGCCGGGATGAACGATTTACTCATAGCCTTGGCCAGTGATGGAGTACCTCAAGCTCTTTGCCTCTCGGATCAACATCCCCAAGGTGAGCATCAATTATGGATTCTAATTGCATCTGGCATTTCAAAGGCGATCAAAGCTGTGGAGAAAGCCCTTTTGTGGCCTGAGCTTGTGTTTTCGACGTCAAATATGATGAATTCGTGAGTGGAAACCCTCTACCCCACAACCTCTACTGCAACTATAATCGTCTACCGTAGGACAACGCTTGTTTGTCAATGGAGCGTGCAGCGGATGCTTGGGAACATAACCAGTTCAACGAGGTCATCGTCAAGGTTGCAAACATCGAAATGTACGTGTTTCTTTGCAATGTGCAATCATAGTCATGATACTGACCACGAACTTCTCTAGTTACTACCGCGTTAGTCAATGTACTTGTCCCATTCAGTCTCTCTACTGACGAGGTTTCCCGGCTCTCTCCTTTTATCTCGGAGAGCAACCCATGACCTCCTCGGCATTCTGATCCCTTGAATTGACCATTCCCGTGTTGTCTGCATGTTCAGCACCTAAGAGAATGACAATCTTCTCCTCATCAAGCCTTACCTTATCTCCATTCAACACGTGAGTCGTCATACCGTGACACACAGACGATCCCTAATAAAAGGTTTTGCCATAAAGCTGAACATTGAAGCCGTCAATGAAGCCTACAACAACGTGCTGATAGAAGAGGAAGATTATGACACTCTCTGTGATTCGATAGACAGCTCTGACCGTTATGATTCCATCGCCCTTGCTAAGAGGCTAGAGCAGCACGAACTACTCGAGTTCAGAAGACTGGCGGCACATCTCTATAAGGTGATGGAGTTATGCTGGTCATGGCCAGTACTTCCGCTAATATGACACGCTTATAGAAAAACAAGCAATGGGATATATCGATTACATCGTCGAAGCAGGACAAACTTTTCAAAGACGCCATTATCACCGCAGCTGTGTCGGGCTCAACCGAGGTCGCTGAGGATCTATTGTCGATATCGGGAACAAGGTGTGCTTTGCCGCTATGCTTTACGTCTGCTTCAATTTGTTACCTCTTGACATCGTTATGGACCTATCTTGGCAACATGGCCTCAACGACTTCTATATGCCCTATAAGATTCAATCCGAACGTACTCTAAACGAGAAGGTCGGATACGGTCGTTTCTCCCAGATTGTCCATCAAACTTAACGCTGCATTCACAGATCACTCAGCTCAAAAGAGAGGTCAAGGAGCGGACCAAGAAGGAAACCCAGAAGGAACAAGCGGAAGTTGAGATGCCGATAATTGCTCCTGGTGGGATTCTACGGATCACACAAGGTGGCGAGTTTGGCTCCAGTCTTGGCGCAGGCGTGACCCCTCTGTACACTAACAGAACAGGGTTACCCTCACTCCCCACTGTATGTTTCGTGATGACCTGTGCAGCACTTCCATTCTAACGTTGACTGATAGGGCTTCGGTTCCTAATTTCGTTTATCTTCAACATTTCTCTTCTGGACTTGCACTTTACACCTTATCCCCTTCATCATTTGCATGTAATATCCGTACATTTACCGGCCAAGTCTATGCTATTGTACCCGTTTCTATCCTTCCAGCTTAGTGGCTGGGGTCTGAGCAGTGAGTCGGGGAATCCACTCACGAAGGTCGCCAAGATGGGTCATCTCCACGATATGGAAGATTTCCTTGGCATGACAAACGTGGCCGACAACTCCTGGCCCCACTCTTGCGTTTCATTTCTCACTGCCTGGAGGACCACAACTACATTGAACATTCTACAAAATGTAATTACATTTACGGAACCATGAATGTGCAAGTTCAGGTGTGATACGAAAGATATATTCATGCAAACGGGTGATTGTCGCGATTTTGGCATCATCATTATCAGTGATGCACATATCTTCACGAAGCACCTCATTGCGTTGAGTCAAACCTTTCAGCCAACCAAAGGACGGTTCGATTGGGCTGAAATCAGGGCTGTAAGGTGAAAGATAGACAACTTTTTTGCCACTAATAAAGACTTGTTAGCGTTACTTGTTGAAATAGAAGTAGACATGTATATACCTTGATTCGATCATTGACTTGATGTGTTCCCCTTTGTGAATACGGCAATTGTCCATCACGACAACTGAATTTGGCCCAGGAAAATCGTTCATTTGCGCCAGTAGCCCGTTGATGAAATCGGTGAATAGCTCGGCAGTGAATGAGCCTTCCACAATCTTCAGCCAAATAATGCCATCGAGGCATAAAGCTGGTAAGACGGAGTATCTGAGCCTTTGTATGAGATTATTTTCCACAAAAGATGAGAATTATTCATACCTTCGACCCTGAATGAAGTGGCAGCGCTTTGTCGCGCGCTCCCCATGGAGAGACCAGCCATAATCACGATATGTAGTACGCTTATCGAATGAACTCTCGTCAATAAAAACCAGCTGCTCCGGCTTATATTGTCCAATTTCGAGTAGAAAATTGGCCCGTTTGACTTCGCTGCGCTCAATTGCCACCTTCGTCATCTGTCACAAAATCATGGTTAATAAATACAAGGGGAAATGGGTAAAATAGCCACCTTTTTCCATGTCAATCCAGCATTCTGTAATGCACGCCAAATGGTGGAAAGGGATACATCAAGATCCCGGAACTCACGCAGGTGAGCTTGGAGTTCTTCAAGGTAGAAATCTTTGCGGAATTCCAAAAGACCTAACAAGTACTAACCTATGCACTTAGAGAGGCCAGGAATATAGTGATTGGAAAAATACTTACATTGATATCATTCTCTTCTATGAGGCGTGGCCGACCAGCTTTGGATGGCCCACGTGAAATTCTGAATGCGCCACCATTTGCCTGGCAGTTTTCACGTACACGATACACTGTCCGTAAGCTCACACCAGCTACCAATGCAATCTGTTCAGGATGGACATGGAGTGCCAACATCCTTGCAACAATATTGCCACGTTCCTCAGTGATCCTCTGGACACCTGAAGTCACCAAAGCAGTAGTCGCACTTGTAGGCACACAGGGGACAGTGCCACTCAGAGGATGGTCCATGGTCTAGCGGGTTTGTTCAACAACGGTGACTTTGCTCTCGTGACTATGATATTAGGAGTTGTCCGAATTATATTACGTTTACGCTGTTCCCTTTGTCTTTCTAGGAAGTCATACGCTCTTTGTGTAACCTGTTGCAGGGCTTATTCAGACTTTCAAGACCTCCCAGCACGGAAAACACCAAAAAAAATATATATATATTTTTTTACAATTTGGTTTGCACCTGCTTCATGCACTACTTGGACGCTTTCCAATGCATGTCAAATCGCCAAAATCGGTCGAGTTTTGAGTGAGCAGTGACGTGAAAGATTTTGCGGAATTTTGAATTTCGGAGTTTGCCTCGAATTTTGCAAATGGCAATAATTGCGCGTCGGCACGCTGGGTCAATCAACTTTGCCGGCTTTTCCCCCTGTTTAGCCTCATCCCTCCCCGTCAAAGGGGATCTCCCGTAACCTGGCTGACCGTGTGCCAGAAGCTGGTATGCTTTCGGGCCGCTAAGCGACTGCTTGCTTAGTAACAGTACTAGTGTGCCGCGCGGCTCATGCCATGAGGTGTAGGCACCCATACACTTGGTTACCGTCTGCGAATGCTAGAGGCTGTACGTTGAAACTGAGCAGGTGCTTGTTCATCAAGGGACGATTAGATTGGAAACTGAGAAGCACATTGTTCAGCTGACCCTCTGAGGAATGGTCTTAATCCATCAGCCACAGCCTGCACAGCATTCTTGGGTTGAAGACGATCTTTGAGGACTCATTCTGGGCCTCCCATACGAAACTCCTTGAAGGGGACTTCGTTGCTTAATACGGCGTTTACAGAATAGGAGGAATAATATGATAGAGCCGGTGTCCGCTAGGTATTTTAGGGGCGATCAGAAAGCACAGGTTTTCCTCGGAAGTACCACTTACCTCCATCCCAGTACAACCCAGAGACCAAATGTCGCTTTCTCTGGTGTGTAGTGGTGCTGGTTCTGTAAGAACGAGCAGCTCAGGCGCAGTGCAATTGATTATCGAATAGCGGCTAGAACCTTGAGGGACTGTCGTTTCGTCGCCAAGAGCCATAGCAAGCCCGAAATCACACAGCATTGCGATGCAATGTGTATTTATAAGGATATTTTTCTATTGCATGATGTTCAATCTGCGATTTTCACGTCCGCGGCGGGCGGCTGAAACGCACCAGGTTAATATCCCCCATGTATAACATCTTCGCTGTGAAGATAATTTAATACTTCGGCGATTCCGTAGACCTTCAAACACAAAACATCATCCGTTCGTTAGCAGCGATGCCCTGCTTACGATTTTCGTTCGATTGGCGTTTGGATTCTTTTCGAGGTAAGAGGGGACGCTGAGGTTGGAGCAATAGTAAGACACAAGATCCAAATGCGCTTGGCCATCTTCAGCCTCTAGGGCGCAGCCATAGAATGGTGTGATATTCTTATGGGCTAACTTTGTCCAAATACATGCCTCTCTCCTGGAACGTTTAATTCTTTCCGATACAATATGTAAGTGATCAGTTCCGCCGAATCAGTGCAGACACACCCTAGCAAACAACTCGTGGTCAATGTTTCCACCCTTTTGTGCAGGCAGCTTCAATACTTTCAAGCCTGGAATAGGGTACCATGGGATCCAGACATGGGAGAAGTAAAGCAGTCGCGGGTAGCGCACTTCAAGCCTTGGCCCGGGAACATCGGGAGTATGTAAACGAAAGCATAGTCCCCAACGCCGATCTGTTCTTTAGACCAGAACATGATATATACTGGGTAACATCGCGGCAGGGTAGTACGTTAAGTTCGGGCTGCTGGTGAGATGAATCAAGCATCTTTGCGAGGCGCTCTCGGCTCATGACAAGGATCAATTGTAAAGTGGCGGGTGTCCACGCCTTATAAGAAACTGAATGGTGGTCATAAAGAAGTGTACCTCTCCCCGAAACGGCTGTACAGTTCAACTGTGAGGAAGTTTCATAGAAGTTATCCCAGCTCGAAGCTTCTCAAAATGTGAGTCGCCATGTCGATCAATGCGTTATCATGCCGTCTAGTCCGACACGGCTTGCCAACGAAACTCGGCCTCATTGTTATTGCCTGATTGCCTGATACTCATAAGACGTATATCGATTCATGTACACGAGGCGTCAGCTTGCAAGCGAATTCAGAGTCAACACCCTCTAGATTTATGGGACCATCACCTCACCAAGGCTAAGTGAACCTATCGCAGCTTCAGGCGATTTGCCCCGACGTGGCCCAGAGATGGACTCACATTACGGGGATGCGAGTGGACGATATAGAGGTGTTTCGTGGTGGGCCTCAGCTTGATCTAGAGGCTAAAGACTGATGTTAGTTTTCTCACACAGAGATAATTAAAACACTGTATAGCCCGGTCAGTGCATTGCAGTTGGAAGCGGTCGTCCCACCATGGATGTAGACGACGCCACACCACACGGGTGACAAGGGGTACAGCAACGCACGGCACCATTGCTCCTCGTTGGGGTGCACTCGTCGGGAAAGACGGGCCCATGCCCTACCAACCGCTCCCACTGATCGTTTGCGTGAGTGGGAACGAGACACTTAGTAATGTTTCAGAACCACCCAATATTAATGGCCCCAAAGGACGCGGCAGCGACAAGCGCCCTTATTTTCTAAGTGAACGATGGTGAACGACGACTTGGACACAGTTCTATGAATCAGTGAAAGAGCGATGTGGGATTGAGGACCCCAGTATTGATATGTTAGTGGTTCTGGGAAAATAGCAAATAACGTGAAGTGGATCTCGCTTTATCACCTAGCAGACGAACCTTTTATGTTGATCGGATATTCGCGCGAAGAACCCGTCCAACTTGTCGCACAACAATATTAACAGCATCTCCGCGAAGCTGCAGTCAAGAAAGGTATTATGTCCCATGTCGCGACACTGCAGTTCGGAGGACATCGAGCACACACCTTCAGGCTCCAAGCCACACAGCTGTGTAGCATTACATGCCAAGGAATCCAGCCCCATCGCTGACCCAAGCCAGCTCCCCGAACCGGAGGGGCACAAATATATGAGCTGTATCGGTAACAGGAATAGCGATTTGGCACTGGTTGTGTGACGATGTACCATACAGACATTGGATGCCAGGAAATTTCAGGCCTTGACGGAGCCCCCTGGAGATCAATGGATGGGTGTCATTGAAGTGTTGACCCTTTGGTTAGGTAGAGGTGGAGGGGGATGGCGCCTGAGGAAAGCAAAGATTTATGTGAAGCTCGCAACTGATTGATAAGGTGGGCTGGTAATCGTTATTGTCTTAGCGTTCAATATCAAGCATTCAACTACCGCGAACACGATACATGATGTCCGTGCCGATGATTATGTCGTGTAGGTTGCAGGCACATGTATGGCTGCTCTGTCGCCATGAGAACCGTCATGTAAAACGTCAGCACAACACTTGAAGTTGGTTCATCAGGTTGTGGATTTATTCTGGGGTTTCTGGCGCGGATGGGGACTTGTGCACCATCTCGGTCCATCGCGCCTTGATACAAGCCTTAGATAGCTCGCTTTAGGATTCAACAACCAAGCATCCACGTCATACTTGAGAGTGCCGATACGCTATACTTTGGCCCGATTTGTGACGTTCAGTCGATATTTCTCAGTGACTAGTGGCTTGAAGATACCGAGGTACTGGCACCGCCGGGGCCTTGGAAATCCCTTTACTTCCTTCACTATATTATTTTTGGTTCTTGATGCCTTGCTTGCTACGCCTCATCGTCCCCACTGTGGGGCAGGCGTCTCAGGGGAAGCATTCCAGAGTCCCAACAGAAGCGACCCAACGAATTGTCAACGCCCAATTCGAGGAAGTTTGAGGACCGAACTAGGAAAGCAATCCCGAGATTGTCAAGACAACACGTACCTATCGACTGTTTCTTCTTCCAAGAGGTCGACCACCCAAAGCACCATTTGACAAGCAGACAACAAAGCACAGACCTAGGACGGCCCAAAAGTACTCTATTCCGTAACCATGAACCTCGAGGGGATTAGAGGCAACCCGGTTATTGCATATTTATATGACCTAGGCGAGTTGCGGCTGCAGATATCGCTTACTGGCGTCAGAGGTCAGGCAACACTTTCCCAAACCTGTCGTTACGTCACTATTATCAAAGAATGGCTACCCCATGACTGTGGCAACAGCAATTGCATGGGGGTCCGCCTTGATTTAAAGGGAATCGTAGAAGGACATGGGGAGCGACTCGTCTCCGAAAGCATACAATAAAGCCCAACTGTAGTGCTGAAGACCGGAATCGCTGCATTGCGTGCCAAGCACAACGGGTTCGAAGATATCATCTTCATTCTAGGAAAAGAGAACTCTGCAGGTGACCGAAGTACAGCTGGGACACGATGAGTGAGGAAGGGTGTTCTCCGGAAGGCATCACTAACAGCTATCAGTACAAGGATACCGCTGAAGAGGTTGGATATCTATATTGGGTACGCTGTTGAGAGAGGGTCCACCACCCAGAGCAACGCGGGACCACGCAGCGACCACCGGCGAAGACCAACAACCCCAGGTTTGCATAAATTTTCCTTGAACGGATGCGAATTCACACCTTAAATTCGCGGCCACGTGGTCTCGAAGTCACATGTCTGTCTTACGCAAGACACCTGCTCCACAACCTCCTGGAGCAGCTCACCTCCCTGGGGTGCAGCTGGCAGTACTGCGGATCGAGTGGCTGCTAGATGATATCAAGGTGGCACTGCTGTAGTTCTCATGAGATGACACTCCATCTCTTCGCGATACTGCACATTGCTCTCCATTGCTACTGTATGCCAAACGTTCCAAAGCATATGAGTATGAGCTTGATTAACTTCCACCCATCCAAAGCAACGTGATGAGCTGACCATCAACTTGAGATCTCGCATTTTTCAAAGGGTCAGAGAGGACTTCTGAGCTTCATGAGTCTATCACAAGTGATTCGTAGCTCGTAGTGCTCTCGTCAGCAGATAGCCTGATCAATTTGGATGCAAGACATCTGGCTAATTCGTCTGTGTCACCCTAGCCAGAAGTGAGAATCTATGAACACTGATTTGCTCAGATCCAGTTCAAGCAGCCCTGCTACAACAAACACTTATAAGGCATTCATACATTAACATGGTGAAGAGAGCTCAGAGCAGTGCGAAACGTATGGTCAAGAATCACAAGAATATTTCTCTCAGCGGCGAAACCATCCACTGCCAGAGGCCCGTTCAGCTCGACCTATCATAAGGAGATGATTATTGCGTACCTGATCGCGGCGGGGATTGTCCAAGCCCAATCAGCCCAAGACACCGGGGCTTGTTTAATGGTTGTGGATAGTGGAACGGATCCCTCTGATGGTCCTAGCCTAGCAACGACTTCTGCTATGGAAACACGTTCGTCAGCGTCAAAAGGTAGGCAACGCTGGGCAACATCCCCAAAAATTGTTGTTGTGTCGATTTCCTGGAAAGGTGGTTTCCCCTTCAGTAGCGCAACGATAATTAAATGCCGGTGAACCCCGTAGTAAGGAGCTTTCCCAAACAGGATCTATAACACAGGGTTGGCCATTTTTTGGAGGAAGAACTCGGGATAACTTACCTCCAGGAGAGTGCACCCGAAAGCCCACACGTCGCCCGATTTGGAGCGTTGGAGGGGATAATCTGCATCTTCAGTGGAAAATACTTCAGGGGGCCAGTATTCGATTGTAAGAAACCGCCCAGCATCCTGCAAATTTTGGGGGGCACGATCCAGGATTTCTGCCTGTCCGAAATCACTCAACATAGCTATGCCTTCATCGCTTATGAGAACGTTGTTCTTAGTGAGATCAAATGATGATGACTGTCAAAGATATAAGTGAAAATGCGTTGCATACTCACAGGCTTCACATCCCCATGAACTATGTTGGCCTCGTCGTGAAGGTATCGCAAGCCTTTAGCTACTTCACAGACCTGATTAAAATCTCAGCGCCAATCTCCGCATCCACCCTTATCATTTGCAACCTTACTATTTTTTCGCGGTCTGCGTCGGGGTGCTTGCGGAGATATCTGGATACATTGTAATTGGGGCAAAACTGGGAGACAAAGCAGAAATGCGAATCGTTTGAAGTAGGGTCGAGAGTCCATCCATAAATGGGGTTGATGTTTGGGTGTTCCAGATTTCTCCAAACCTTGATAACACCTAGCACGTTCTAAATGTATTGTGAAGTGGGTGGGAGAGACTTTTAGCGCCCAACGTATAGTACCCCGAAAGTTCGCACCTTTCTCAACACCTCCAGGTTGTGTTCTGCGGTATCACCAAAGGACGCTGTGATAATTTTGAGGCAGACTCTTGGCTATGGGAGGCAACATTAGGTTCATGCCTGGTAGTTAGGGGTAAGGTAGCACCTTGGCATTTTTTAAGACATCGCCTGGTGAATCATGATGGTGATGCGTGACAGAGAATACTCGGGCCCGCGAGCCGACCCCTTCTAACCGTATGTCCTGGAGTTTGAGGCAACTGTTAAGGTTGAAGGGGTCTTTCTCCCATTCACTTTGACTAATTGGATCTAAGGCGTCCTTGCGATTGTGGGGCTCGCCGTGGGACGCCATCCGTATTCTAAGGAGGATGGGATGTAGTAATGTAGGTTGAACAGCTCAGACTGTGGGCTGGCGACTGGTGATGGGGGTGAAAGGAATCCTATGAATCAAATTGCAAGCCAGCAGGCCAGCATGCACCCAGTGCGCTTTCAGCAGGGGGAAGTTTGCAGGCGCTCGCCCGGTAAGATGAATTCCGTCACCCCTCAGCTGATTCTCAGCCTCAATTTTCTCCAATTCCAAAAGTTGATCATCTACCATAAGTAGAATTAGGAAGCGCCAAATCCGTTTGCCGCGCGGTTGATGCGAGGTTTAGGCCCATAGCTTTTACAGTCCCTCGCAATTCACTAGACTCTTCCGTGCATACTTCCAATCTGCCTCATGTTCTAATCACACATTTTAGCGCCCTCGAATGCACTGCGGCGTAGTATTAAAGGCATATTCTCTTGTCTAACCATAGGCACTTGGCCGTCTGCCAATGCATACGCTGTGTCTACAACAATTTAGCGGCTATATATACATGTTACGTACGTTGGGGTACGATGTTTTCGTGCCATTCATTTTCAGGGCAGTGGTTGTGAACCCCATCGCTTTCTCGTGAGAAGGGGTCTGGTTTGAGCTTCGGAGCTGTGTTGTTATGCTGATGCCGCACGTTCCACATGCACAGGATTCTAAACTTCGACGATAGAAATCTGGTTCCCACATACAACGCAAGAAATCCCTCCGTTGTGAGCTGGAACTCGGAGGCTTGTCTTGTTGAACTCCAGGAAGCGAAGTGACTGATAGAGGTTCGTTGGCATTGGTCACCATTGCCTTCGAAAAGGACATTCTGGACGTACCTGGTCTGCAGTGGACGACAAACCTGTCGTCCTCCTTTGCTTTCGTGTGTTCCTTCTGTTTGGTATAAAAAGTCGCTCTAAAACGAATTACAACTGGTGTCTCATTGGCAGGCAGCGTGCCGAAATCGAAAGCATCATCACATTAATGATACGCATCCATTCCAAACGATGGGCTGAAACATAGATTATGATAGTCACCTCACCGCACAGCTATCTCTTCGAGGAACGGCTTCAACCAGTCAGCTACCGCCTGTGCGCTGACACGATCTTCACTCTCGGGTTGGAGACAATCTTTGAAGACCCACTCCGGATGCTCCTCGCGGAAACCCTCAAAAGGAATCTGTTTGTTCAAGATGGCTCCGACAATATGGAAAGGAGGGATGGTACGATAAGGCTTATTTCCGCTGAGTATCTGGAGGGTGGTGAGAAAGAGCAGGCTTCTCTCGGAGATGACACATACCTCCATCCCAGTACAACCCAGGGACCAAACGTCGCTTTCTCTAGTACGCAACCCTGGTTCCGTTGCTACGCACAGCTCAGGTGCGGTATAATCGATTGTCGAATAGCGGCTAGACCCTTGAGGGATTGTCGCTTGATCGCTGAGAGCCATCGCAAGCCCAAAATCACACAACATTGCGACATGATGCGCATTGATAAGGACGTTCCTCTGCTTCGCGTCGTTCAAGTCCGAAAATACATGACGGATGGCGAAAACGCACAGGCTTGATATCCCCATGTATGACTTCTCTGCTGTGCAGGTAACTTAATCCTTCGGCGGCTTCATAGACCTTCAAGTACAAGACATTATTTCTTCATGTTAGCAAGATCCCCATACTTACGATCTTCGTACGGTTGGCATTTGGATTCTCGCTGAGGTAACTGGATGCGCTGAGGTTGGGGCAATATTGTGATACGATGCACGGATGCAGCTCGAAGTCGACCTCCAGAGCCCAGCCATAAAACGGTGTAATGTTCGGATGGTCCAAGGTTGTCCAGATGCTAGTTTCTCTCTTAAAACGCTTTTTTCCGGTGGAAGTTGTCAGTGAGCAACCTTGTCGAATTAGTCTGGACTCACCCTGGCAAACGATGGTTCATCAAGACCACCACCTTCGTCTCGGGGTTGTTTCAGCACTTTCAAGCAGACCACGTCCTGAAATGAGGCACCGTGTAGTACGATCAGGTAGGAGTTGAAGGGAAAAAGCGGGCAAGTGAAGCGCACATTAGGCGTCAAGCCCGGAATATCGGGAATATTGTGCTGAACTGTGTACACGGTAGCATAATCGCCAACTCCAATCAGCTTTTTGGATCCGAATACAATATAGGGGGTAATATCGCGGTGCAGTGTTCCGAGCTGGTCACGAAATGAGCCAGCCAACTTTTCAAAATCTACTCTGTTCATGTCAAGAGTCCTGGGAATGTGAAAGTTCAAGCGCTGGAGAGCTTCCACTTTGTAGTAGAACAAATGGGGCCATGATGAAGTCCCTAGTCCAAATAGGGAGCTCGGCTTCTCAAGCTGCGAGCGAGCGCCCATGCAATACCGTCATGCCTTGTCAGTGAGGCACACAGCGCTATTGAAACCTCGCAGCCTCATTGTTATCGCCCGGATCATGAAAAGGCAATGATTCATGTACACGAGGTATGCAGTAACTATCTGGAGGCGCGGAGAATGCCGTGTGGGCAGATAGACTGAAAGACTAATTTAGCGTTTTGTGGATTCTTGCAGAGCGCCAAGAATATCGTAATACTTTGTATGCAATCGGCTGCTCTTCCTGAACTAGAAATGGCTGCTGTGCAGCCCTGACCTTGCTTATGATAAGGCTTTTGCATGTGAAGTTAGCGGAACAGGAATGTTTTCTGCCAACATCATCGATCCTTCCATCAAACTGGTAATATCTTTCTGCACACAGGTGTTCTTTTCCCTTTTCTCTTTGTCTGCCATGAGCACGCTACATTCACCATTACCTGCCACCAGTTAGCTTTGCCAATGCTCTTCATTCCCCTAGCTTTATCTGATTAAACGAATGTACTTTGCACTTCTTATACCCCATCAAACCAACTGGTGTCATGTTGTCTCGTGCCCACTTTACACTGGCGTATGATTGGTGGATGCCACCTGTGGTGTTACAAAAATGGGGCCGGAAGCGCCCATTTTCATCTGTTCTGGCACAGGAATAGGGAAGGGGGTTGGACATAAGGGTTTACAGGTTGTTTCACAGATGGTTTGACATGTAGTTGAACAGGTAGTGTGGCAGCGGGTTTTTGTTGATTATTGATTGGATAAACTCAATTACTCTACAAATCATGTGATACAGAACCCATAAGAGTCTAAAATGGGAAATTCCCATTTCCATAACATGTGGTGGCAAGAGCCCACTAAGTACTTTTCCAAACTTTGTTTTTCTTATCCGATTCTGGCTCATCGTTGGCCACAAGATCAAGGGGAAGAGGGGAAAGGGATGGGCGAAATGTGGCAAAGGCTAGAGGGACAATGAGATCCGTTGGAAGGGACTTCAGATAGCGCTTGCATGCGAGCTCATACAAGCGGACCATAGGTGTTATGGAAATGGGAATTTCCCATTTTAGACTCTTATGGGTTCTGTGTCACATGATTTGTATAGTAATTAAGTTTATCCAATCATTAATCAACAAAAACCCGCTGCCACACTACCTGTTCAACAACATGTTAAACCATCTGTGAAACCACCTGTAAACCCCTATGTCCAACCCCCTTTCCTATTCCTGCGCCAGAACGGACGAAAATGGGCGCTTCCGGCCCCATTTTTGTAACAATAGGAATAGAAGTCCACTCAGCATAAATGGCATCCAGCCACTCAAACACATCCTTACATGTGTTATACCCGACACCCTTGTCCCTATAACTCCACAAAGCCTCGCGACGCACGATCCCAATGACAGCATCGATATATTCACATGCAGAAATCCACCATCGCGTGCGATCACCCAAAACAACAGCAGCCTTGAGATTGTCAGCAAGGACTCCTATTGCATTGTGAGCCTTCTCTATCACCTTATCGCGTTCAGGTGTCTCCCAGTATTCCTCACCGCCCCAAGGCAGAATCATCCGGGGGGAGATCCCTACCATCAAGCCAGTACATGGCGAGTTTCCACAGCCGTGCGCGAGAGAGTGTGTCAGAGGGCAAATACACAGGTAGAGTGCCGTCAGCGCGTGAATATCGTGTGGGGCTGGACTAGGATGTGCTGGCACAAGTTTCTCAGCGTGCGCAGGCGCAAATATCGCGTGTGTTGCCAAAAAAGCAGGTGGGGGATGTGGAAGATGTGTGTGGAAGGCCCAAAAGTCGTGGGTCTGAGCCTGGGGAGCCGTGAACACAGAGAAGAAAGCGGAGTAGGTGCAAGCGCATGTTTCTAGGTGCGCGCGGGCGTGTGAATTTCGAGTGAGAACGGCTTAATCAGCACAGGCGCGTGTCTGAGAGTCGCACACGTGTGGATTGCACGTAAGAAAGGTTTCTAGAGCATACAATCGCGTCTGCAGAGATGCGCGTGAGTTTCAAACTGAGATTGGAATAATGAGTGAAGAGGAATGCGCAGTGAGCCAAACTCGTACTTACAGGAGCCGACTGGGTGTCTGAAGTCTGAGTTAACATAGTTGTAACAGTTTTAGCTACAAGCGCTCAAAGATAACAATCGATTGTTTGCAGAGGGGCCAGGTGGCCTGCCTTACCGGTACGATAGTGAAAGTGGTCCGAATTATATGTCATATTGTCATGGTGACCCTAGGTTACAGAGGATCTTGTGCACAGCACCTTTGGGGCCTAAATTTGCGCTACGGAGTTTGCGGGACAAATGAGCCAGAAAGATCCGTCGGAGGAAAGGACACGTGCAAAAAAGCGGTCAATACATTTGCAGAATTCCCACCAATATATTTGCAGAATTCCCACCAATATATTTGCAGAATTCCCACGAATTGTGGACATGCAAGAGACCTTGCAAGCAAGGTAACAGAATGATAACACATGTCCTTTATTCAATTCAGCATAGCCAGCTAAGCGCTCAGCGTTCTGGTTGCGGGGTCCCAGGAGACACAACGTCTCCTGAAGATGAGTGAGCTGTGCTCCGGACTGTCACCAAAGGATATATATGCTGTGATGATCTTGAGGCAAACTGGGGGCTGAAAGAATTAAAGCATAACGTTAGATTCGATACGGCTCGTTGTGTGCTTGGGGGGGGGACCTTAGCATATATTCAGGCGAAAGAGTACGCACGTCCCCGTGAACCAACGCCGTCGGGCATGCATCCCGTCGGATTGGAGGCAGCCAGTCAGGTTCAGGATGTCTTTCAAATTCTCAAACTAGGCTCTCATGGGTCGTCGTCCTGCAGTCCCCCTATCTTAGGGAAGGCGAAAATAATTAATACACACTCTCGCAGCCTAGAAATGCCGTCACGGAAAACTCGTTTCATTAAGTCACTTCCCCACTCATTTCATTGCAGCATCGTGCGTAGTTCATCAATTCATATGAACTCAACTTCTAGTAGCTACCAGCACTTGAAATCGCTCCAGTACGAGCGCTCATTTCCCACTTGGCTGTGGCCAATCAGCTCCTGGGATTTCTAGTCCATGCAATATCCCTCCCCAGGGAGGAAAATCCATGACTCGCAGCAAATCATTAGCCTGGTCGATCATCCTCAAAAGTACGAGGGATTTACGCGAGATGCAAACGTCTTACAGTCCCAAAGGTCGTTAAGATACTATTTTTTCTAGATTCATGGCTCAAAAGAACAGTCAAAGAAAAAATGCATATATCGGCTCAATGGCGTGGCCTGCGCGTTGGTGCTAGCAAGCGAATCACGTTTTGCGCGTTTGTTCGGGCCTCAGGCTCAAACTGAAGGCAACCCCTGAAGGCCCACTCAGGGCTTTCCGGGAGGAATTCTTTGAAAGGACCTATCCTCCTGGACATGGCGTTAGCAACACGCTGGGCGCTGTAGGGTGGATATCCACGGAGTATCTGGAGGGAACAATAAGAACGAACAGACCCCTTACGGATGAATATGCGTACCTCCATCCCGGTACAACCCAGAGCCCAGATATCACTTGCTTTGGTGCGCGTTATTTCTAATCCCTCTCCTATGACCAACTCAGGCGCGGAGTACTGAGCTGTAGAATTATAACTACTGCCTTGGGGATCCGTTGCCGGGTCGCCAATCTTCCTTGAAAGTCCAAAATCACAAAGCGTGGCGACACCACTCGCATTGATAAGGATATTCGTCTGTTTCATAGCGTCAATTATCATATAAATGCAAATGACGCCCTAGAGACGCACCGGCTTAATGTCTCCATGCACAATGTCTTGTGTGTGAAGGTAACTTAGTCCCTTGGCAGCTTCGTAGACCTCCAGGTTCACGACGTCATTTATTACTCTACATTGATAACGTCTCTAGTACTTACTATTTTTCTTCGATCCGCCCCTGGAGTGTTCTTGATATAGTGATTAACGCAGCGGTTTTCGGCGAATTGCAACAGGATATAGGCGTGTAATTCGCATCCGACATCCAAAACCCAGCCGTAAAACGGCGTAATATTTGGATGGTTCAACGATGACCAGATCCCGCACTCTCGGATGACACGCTTTTTGTCAGTAGGGGATGTCAGCGTATATTTCACTGAGTTACGGTCCGAGGAGCCATACTCTGCGGAACAACTCCACATCTAGCCCTCCTTCCTTATGCCCAGGTATCCATAACATTTTCATGCAGATAGTGTCCTAGAATACAGCAGTAACAGATGAGCGAAAAGACGCGCCAATGTAAATTGAGTACCTCGATATCTCTGGGGATTCCATGTTTGACAGTGTATACGGAGGAATAGCCTCCACTGCCGATCTGGCGTCTTGAAGAGAAGTCAATAAAATGGTTGGGAATGAAGTGTCCGGAGATCTTAGGTTCGTTTCGAAGTGAGTGAGCTATCCCTTCAAGCTGATCCTGATCCATGTCAAGAGTTGGAGTATGGAGTGACAAATCTCCCGCTTTAAATAGTGCCCTCTTCCGATGACGATATGACGCAGCTCTGCAGGTGATTATCACATCCAGCCCAACAACAGAGCGCTCGAGCTATTGAGTGATGCATGCTGTTTTTTCGAAGCACTACAGCCTCGCCGAAACCGCCTGGACTGTTGCGAGTCACACATTGATTCACTTACACGAGGTGTATGCTAGGGAGCCGAGGAAATTGGCCATCTGCATCCGAGGGCAAGGCCGCCCGCGGGCTCATACCGTGTTGGAGCAATTTGGGGGGAGGTCGGTGTATGATTGATGCACTGGGGAGGCTTTGAATCTAGCACTAGCTCTGGCAGCTGATAGGAGATTCGCATTTGCAGAGTAACGCTCTGCGTTCTATTCAGTCTGGCTCGACGGAGCAGCCACCTCAACATGGAAACGCATAACCCCCCACTGTAATGCGCTGTAGATACTTCTACTGGAAATGAGTGGCCTTGATCAATTCGCGAGCAGATACTGGGACATACACAACAATGGCATAGGACATTCATGTATCCCGATCAAGCAGCTGGGTTTTGCAATTTCATCGTATATATTATTATTGGTTCTGGGAACGATTTCGCAGATTATTGAACAACGAGGGATAGAACATCCCCAAGACACCCCTTAAAGCTAACTCAGGGAAGAGGGGATCCACACCTGAATTTCAAAGTTTCTCACGGCTCGCAAGAATCGTGGTCATTCCAGGTTTCAATTTGCGTGAGGGTTGAACTAAGGCGCCTAGCGACAGTCCAAACCTCACCCAAAAGGAGGACCCCAGAAGGTGGAACATCACCGAACGCGCTTACGTCTCCGAGTGCGGGATGACAGTTACTGTATATGGCAACAATGGTGCTAGGTGGCGCTCACAGCTTGAGTCTTTCTACCCAGTGTTGTGTGTTGAGTTGGTTGGGCAGCCATGAGAAAGGACGTGACGTGGTGGACTTCCCATGTCGTGGGAGGTCCATACGCCATTCATTTACTTTTAAATACCGGCATAACACGTATGAGCTTGATATCACGGCAGACGGAGGGAGCTTCATGCATAAAAACTAGAATGACGGCAACCAGTCAACGATACCAAATCCGACCCAAAAGCCACCTAAGATAACTTTGGTTATTCGCCATGGATGAATCGGAGGCTTGTGGGGAAGCAGCAGGTTCGGGCTCTTTAGGAGGCTGTAATCGTTTGACCACTTCGCTCATGAGAATCCTGTCTCCGGGGTTCGGCTCAAAACAAGCTTTCAGTACCAATTCCACCGAGTCGTTCGCGAAATCACCGAAGGGGAGCTGTCCAGACATGATGGCGATCGGTATACGGAATACCTGGAGAGAGGCATAAGGAGGCCTATCGCGAAGAACCTACCAAAAATGTGATAACTTCCTGTGTGGGCCAAGCATTGTCAAGGAAGCGGACTCACTTGCATGGCGGTGCAACCAAATGACCATACATCACTTTGAATTGTTGGTGGACGGCACCCATTCTCGGAGTCATTATCATCCTCCAGCATCTCTGGTGCCAAATATGCTGGAGTGTAGAATCGACTTGGTTCGTCGGGACGAGTAAGTTTGTCACTGAGAGCAATAGATAATCCAAAATCACAAAGCCGAGCCTTCCCATCGGCATCGACTAATACATTGTTCTACAGATATCGTATGGTTCAGTTCAAGGAGTGGAGCAAAACGATGCAATGCGTACTGGCTTGAGATCCCCATGAATTATGGAATTTTGATGTAAATAGCATAAACCAGCGGCAATTTCAATAATCTGAACGAAGCCACATGTGAGAATGGTAGGTAATGCCTTGTGGAATTGGCTTACTATCTTCCACCTGTCGGGGTGGGGTTCCGAGCGGAGGTACCGCGAAACGCTGTATCTCGCGCAGAAACCTGAGACAAGACAAAGGTTGTCCCCGAACGATATCTTGTCCATAGCCCATCCATAGAAAGGATTGACATTGGGGTGGTTTAGCTTGTGCCAATTTCTCATCGTTGTACGGAGGCGCTGAGTAATGTTGTCAGTCCCTGAGTCCGTTTTCGCAGAGTCGAGAAAAATCACCTCCCGAGCGGCTTTAACGATCGCCTCATCGTCTTCGTTATATAGTCTCAGCACCTTCAGACAGATCGAACCCTGTAACACTGTATGAACGAGGTGGCTCCTTTGCAATTCACAGGAAAGCGAACCTCTTCAGTTCCGGCGAGCTCCTGCTGAACATCACAGCGTGGTGCAGAGTAGACCTCACTACATGAACCAGCGCCTATCAGGGCCCTTCTTTCGGTATTTATTGACCGAGTGCAGTCCATGTCAGTTAAGCCATCCAGTTCGTCAGCCAACCTTGACGCCATGGTGGTCTTGAGGATTGAAACTAGAAAGAGCCTATCTGTTGGCTGCTACCGTGGATCTGCTGCGTTTTGAAGTGTCGAGAAGAGAAGCGAAGAGTTAAATAACGCTGAACGAAGGCGCTCGTGTCCTTGTACCTGGCACAGCATTTGCACCCAGTCACCAGTCACAACTGAATGGGTGGCTGGTCAGCGGCACCGTGCGAGCGGCTATGTTACTAATACTATGCATTTTACGTAGGCGCTGTGGCGACAACACCAATGGAACAATCGAATTCGGCCAAACCCTACTGATCTCATGTAAGTGGATGCTGTGTCATCACCGTGTGGGAGGCAAGGGATGAAGCGCTATGGGCTGGATACTTATCACGAGCGAATGGGGGCATGCAGTATACAGCTTAATTATTATCTCGTAAGCTAGTTTATCGATGACCGCGATATATCACGCCTCGACGAGTGCCCGCTGAGTGACCGCAGCATAGAGCATCATAAATCTCACAACTGCTCGAGCACACAACCATGCTTTTGTTGTCCTCAAACGAGTAATTCGTGAGACTGCATCGGAAATTTTGAGACGACCTTGGGGTGCAAAGAGAATGCAATGTTGAAGGACCAACTCCAGCGGATGGGGTCCGAAGTCCTCAAAAGGCAGAATCCCTGCTTCCATTGCCCTAGCGATAAGCAGGAGATTTTTGCGATCGTAGGGCCTGCGTTGACGAAGTATCTGGGAATCATTCAGTCCTGGGTGGAGTAACATGGTAATGGATTATAGCTTACTTGCATCGCTGTACAACCGAAGGCCCAGACGTCAGTGCTCTTGCTACGAGGCGGGGGATCACGACTATCAAACAGAATCAATTCAGGGGCAGAGAATTCCGGTGTTGTGTTCCGGCTGCTGCCTTGAGGGTGAGTTGAAGTATCCTCCAGGGCCATCGAGAGCCCGAAATCACAAAGCATGGCGCTGCCCTCATATGTGACTAGAACATTGGTCTTCACCCACCATTCAGTGACGCGGAAACAAGAAGGGAGTGTGACAAGTGCTTACCGGCTTGATGTCCCCGTGAACAACACCCTTCTCATGAAGGTACATGAGTCCTGTGGCAATTTCGTGGATCTGTAGTACAATCTCTATCACTGACGATAATCCAACATAGATATCTAGACATACCAATCGACTTTTCGAGGCACCAGGTTCTGTGCGCAAATATTGAGGCAAGTCCCTCCGAGAGCAAAACTGGGAGACGAAGCACGCTCGCACGTCATAGTCAGACACCTCCAACGCCCAACCATAGAAGGGCGTGACGTGAGGGTGACTGAGTGAACTCCAGATTCTCCCTTCACGAATGAAACGCTGGGCAGGTGAAACGGAGTGATGACCCGAGGTTCCAGACAAGTGGATGAATCGTCCTTACCCGAAGTAACACCTTCCAATCAGGTTCACCGCCAGAACCAGCGGAAAGGCGCAACGTCTTCAAGCACGCCCTCTCCTAAACAAGAAACCATTACCACAGTATTCTCAACACTCAGAATGGTGTCTAAGTGACCACGAACACGACGTAGACTCACCTTCGTTCCTACACCACGACCATTCCTATGATACCAAACAGAATCAACATGCGAGTAGGATCCACCGCCAATGTTTATCCTCCCATCACGGAATTCAATCAAGTCGGTAACGTCCCTATCTACAACGAAACCTCCCATTTCCCTCCGAAACTGGTTGGCCTGCTCAGCAGGCTGCATTGGGACGCAATCTGGTCCAACTTTAGGTTTCCAAAGTTTAGGGGAACAGCTCCGTTTTGGGGATGATGAATCGTGTTTATGAATAGGGGTTTGTATGTGCGCGCCAGCCGGCACAATTGCAAGGACTATTTAGGGGACTGATTTGGCAAGTGCCGTATACTACCGAATGTTGGAATGTCCTGCATAGCAAATGCACGGATTTGACTGGGTAGTATTGGAATGGGATTGGACCTGTGAGAAGCAGTGGAAACGAGAAACCCAGGTAGCACAGCGCTCGACCGCAACGAAGAATCTAGCACTGCTACGGCGAAGTGAGCAAATCGAGCAATTCGCTTGCCCTTCAGCGGGCGCTTATCGAGAGCCAGGCTCCTCATAACGAAGACTGCAGTGAACGCTTCTACAATCAATTACGTGCCAACCCCGCACGAAGTTACCAGTCTCATCCAAACGCGCAGGTCGGTGGAATAGATCTCAAGTGTAGCGTATTGATTGAATTTGAACATTACAGTCAGACTCGGACCCGGTGGACTAATCCATGGAGCCGGGAGGTCATGTGCTTATAACACGTGAGGTGCTCTCCTCGAAAGGAGGTAGGAGCACGAATTTCTCGTGGAGCGAAAATTTCCAAGTTACACAAATTTGAATCACGTATCGCGCAGTTCAGATTATGTAAGTCTAGTTTTGCATCCCAGTTTAGGACAGGCTCCTTCCCGGTCGCTCGCATGATTTCTCCGAGGTTTAGCCGCAACTTACGTTGCCTCCGAAACCAGCCGGCATTGTCCCGTTTGGAGGGAATGCATGTGGTCGCGTGATATATGAGTGATGGGGTATGAATGTGGTCAAACGGCGGTAGCACTGCCACCGCGCTTTAGGCTGACCGCATGCAGGCCTTCCGCAGATCCCGCCGTTTGGCTCATTGAAAGATGTTCCCCACGGCAGATGGCCTGTATCAACTCACATGAGCAGGACTCAGGAGCAATATTGTGCACACACAGAATATTTTCATCGAATCCCCGACATTCTCAGAATACAAATGTCGGCTTTGATCGTCGCCTACCAAATTTCCCGGGCGCCACCTAGAACTTCTACCCAGGGCACTGAACACTCCAGGCAAGTCAAACGGGGAGCTGGGGTGGAAATCGGCTACTGGATGGTTCCGGATGGATGTGGCCCACATAATGGGCAGGGATGGGCAGAATGGCAAATACTTTATTCGGTGTTTGTGTCTACAATGTTGCAGTATACAGGGTGTATTGAACGGGGCAGGAGAGGGTGAAACGGTGGGGATACAGGCAGCTACCTTTATGTTTGTTTAGCTTGATTAATTTGATGGATTGGATGCAATTTTGACCTAGCAGCCGCTAAGACAAGAGATCACCAGAATGTCCTCCCCCTTGCAGAATGCGTCTTCTAGCACATTTGACGCATCAATCCTCACCCTTCAGGCCGACTTTTCCAGTGGCCTCACCCTTTTGACAACAGCTCCCACTGCCAATGAATTCCTCAGAGCTACAGAGGGTCCATTTGCGGAGTTGAAAGAGCTAGTTATGCAGCATACTTCAATTGCAAACAGACCACGGTTTCAACCCCTCGCCCCCCCAGAGAAAATTTTGAAGGAGATTGTGCAGAAGATATGGGGTCATTCATCTGTTCAGACAGTTGATGATATTGGCAAGATTCTAGAGAACGGACACGTCACAGATGATTTGAGCCTCGAAGGTACATTTGTACCTATTGGAATGTTTAAAAACACTTAGAAGCCACTGCACAGTTTTTTTGGAAGCTTGCATCGCAGGCTATGCCAAGAAAAGGGAGAGGTCACCCCAAGAAGTCATGAAACGTTTCCGATTACACAATCCTTCTGAAGCGGGCCAAACGGCCTGGCAGGCATGGCTCAAGCTTCACTGTAAGTCTAGCCGTAATACTTGCAGCCCATATTTGGGACTAATTGTTTCCCAGCTGGAATTGATAGTCAAGAGGCTGCAAGGCTGCGTAAATCACACCAAGAAGCTGTTGAGAAGCACTACCCCGATTGCACGGCAGAGGCGAATGCATTTTACGAAAAAGTTCTGATACATTGTGGAGACATTGTTTTGTCAAAGGATGAAAGGGATGCTAAACCCAATGAAGGCCTCTATCTGTTGCAGAAGGTAACCGGAAAGTACGCTGCTCAGGTACAGTGGACAGGATTCTAGGGACTACTAGATTTGGTTCAACTAAGGCTTTGCGGTAGCTTGCCACACTCAGCACCATTCACCCCATTGGTGTGGCTGTAGTGGGATTCATAGCAGACAACACACTTTCCCCTTGAGACTCGACTATCACTTTTACTAGCTCTCTGATGATCATGGAAATGGTCAAAGCTATGGGCCTACCCCTTGCAGAGGATGCCGCATTGGCGATGAGAAACTTTTACGATGGAATAAAGGCATTCAGGTATGGGTTTATGTTTAGAAGGGTACTGTTGGCTTACTTGTATCCCCCTCAGCCCATATCAACCTGACGCCATCAAACAGAGGTATGAGTGACTTCTCCTTGCAGTCTGCACAGGCTGAAATTGCTGCAGAGACTTCCGTCATCATCTTGGAGCATTTAACAACTCCAAAATGTCTACCAGCGAGGTATTTGGGGCCTCTGGTCTCATGAAGTCCATTGTGACGCAGGCGAAGCAAAGCGTCCATTTCAGTGATGATCTGGACCGATATTTGGGTAACACTACTGCGAAATCAGAGGTTGAGTGTGATGCAGAGGATGTGGATTATCACACACCTTTATTGAAGATGAAGGAAGGCCTGAGCACTATAGACCAGGCATATGGGGCGCATACTGTTTGCTGCACTGATTGTGCTGGGAAGCTCAAAGCCATGATTTGTATGTCCTACTTTTGCAGCACTATCCGCTTTGCTCATTGGTGATGTCTACTTGTAGAGGAGGCGACAGGCATAATGGACCTTGGGCACAACTGGAGAGGCATCAACATACTTCCATTCTTGCTTGAACACCGTCTCCATTTTTCCGGTTGGCATCATGGTGTTCGACACCTAAACAGAGGGCTTCCATGTGATTGGACCCCACATGAAACTGCACGGTGCATGTTACAGTTCGATCATGAGGATCCGGTGCAGACCTTGAGGGTGGAACACATGACAGATGGTACGGTGAATGTCAATGAAACTCAAAAGGCATGACTGATGGGTATGGGCTTACCAGATGAGTACCTGTGAAAATACTAGCATAGTTTAACTCAGTCTCAAGCTGAATAGCATGGAGAACTAGTTAACATTACCTAGCGTAGTTTAACTAAAGATAACACACATTTAGATATGAAGGGAAATTAGAATGAAAGAAAGTACTGACCTCAGTCTCAAGCTGAATAGCGTGGAGAACTGAGGAAAAAGGAAATGAATAGAAAGAGCAGGTATGTCCGTATAGTCGGTAGCGGATAATTCCGCGATAATAGAAAAGGGAAAAGTATTCATTTACAGGTCAGGTGAAAGTCACCTGGTCAGAAACCTCTGGAACGCGCACTGCACTCCAACAGTACCTGAAGCGTGAGGTGTTACACTATGCACTGGATGGGAATGGCAACGTCAGTAAATATGCATTACCTCAAAATGAAGTAAGGAGAGCAGTTGGGAAAACGGCCATCATCCCGGCATCATCCCACAAACGTAAGGGAAGCACCCCAGACCCTACCACTGTGTCTATGGAATGAGGTTCAATTGGAGATGGCACAATACCCACCCCATCTCCTAAGCGAATCAAAAGGGGGTCTAGAGCCACACATATGTGCACCTCAACCAAACATCCTCGTGCGACACCTAGGGCCAAGAAACAGGCAAGGAAGACTGCCCTACTTGAGTGCAAGGCGTCAGGTCCACAGGATGAGGGAACAGTGCCTGAAACACCGCCCAAACACTCACCTGAACTGAGCACGTCTTCCTCGCCAGTAAAAATGGAGGTGATAGACCTAGCTGGATCTCTGCAGGCCGCACATCAAGCCCCCTGGCATGAATGTGGGCCGCGACTCCCTGACGAACCGGAAAATGACGTCTTCACAGCACAGGCCAGTAAAACGAATATGGAGCCGCCTACACCAATGGTCATCCTGCCTATTAGGTTAATCCATCCAACACCGCACAGTACTCCTGTCAAAGTTCAAGAGGCACCAAAGATCATAAATACTGGAAGCGCGCACCTCACTGTGAACGAAGGGACAGTGGCTAGTACTCCTGTTGGGGTTCGAGAGGTGTCAAGGATCATAAATAACGGAGGCACACACCTTGCTGTGAATGGAGGGACAGCGGCTCATGAACCATCGGAGGCACTGTCTTCAACAACGAGCATGAGTGGCAAGGTTCCTACCTTTGATGCCTTCTTCAAGTGTGCACGCCACTCAGTGTGGCGGAGCGCATGGAGAATCCTTCCAGGCCTTCATTTGCGGGCGCTAGCGGTGGAAGATGTTGAACTCCTTGTGAGGATTGACATCGTCGCCCAGTATGTTGAGAGGCGGGAGCCACCTCCCAATGTCTTGAACATTGGGCAACACTGGAGAATGGTTCACACTGCTGGACAGGAGCTTTGCGAAAGGGGTGCCGATGGCGGGGGCGTTGCAATGCAGGTGTTACAGTTGCTTGATGAGATCGAGGCTGGCGAGGAGGAAGACATTATCAATATGTGGGCCTACATGTTGCCAGAGTAATAGATTGTATTTTTGAAGTTATTTACAATAAACACGCTGTTATAGAACCCAACCCATGGGCTGAGCAACAGGTAATGGGAGTAGGGCAGCTTGCAGGTTTTAGCGTACATAGGAAACGGCCACAGACGGCCACTGCGTCTACAACTGGAAATGGGAGTGTAATTCTTCCACAGTTGGCCTGTTTGGGGGAGCAGGAGGGCTCTCTGCCACTTTAAGTGCAAAGAGGCCAGTTTTGGGCTGCCAGCGAATAGACTCAAACTCATCTTGAGGCGGGTTTCCTGACCTCTTCAACATCTCCGTTGTTCGAAGTTCGATGCCCTCAAAAAGGTGCCTTGCAGAATCGGCAATGAAACGAACAACACGGGGGTAGATAGATCCTTCCACAGGGTAGATCCTTTGGTGGAATGCACGCTTGAAGCGGCGAAGGCGACAAAGGATGAGGCAGAAACAAAGGAGACCTAGATATTCCTCTTCACTCAACTCGAGGGGCCTACGCAGGCACATTTTTTCAAGCACATCAGATCTGAACGTCACCTCAATCACATTGAACAATATGCGTCCTGAGTTGGTTGTCGTCATCATGATCTGGAAGCGATTGTATTCGAAGAGGTCCTGCAAGTAGATCCGGGCCCAGAGTTTGGCTATCTCACTAGGCATGGTGTCTGGACCTTGAGGGATGAGAGGGGCTGGTGCATGATCCAGGAGAGTCATGACTGTGGTCTTGTCAAACCCACAAGAAAGGGTCTCACTGATATATCCAAGCTCATAGACACCGGTGTACCCGCTTGGCATATAGTCCTCATTTCAATATCTTTGAGAACAGCATCGGGGTATCTTGCTTCGAGGTATCGCTTGAGGCTTTGAGCTCCCTCTGTCACGGCCGTGCATTCCGGCCGTTAGCCGCCCGTCCCGATGCCGCCCGAGCCCATTACCGCTATGCGAGCGTGAGCACGAGCCCCGACCTCAGCCCTATCCTCCCTGAGACCCCTGCTCACTTCCCCGCTTGCCCCTAGGCTCCCCTGCACCTGGCCGACTCCCCCACAGCCACACCGACCTCCCTGCCCCGAGTCCGCCTCTGGTACCGACTAGCGTGACTCCGCGACATCGCCTACTCCACTATGATACCATCGCCGCTATTGCGGCCCTACACCCCTTCGTTTATTTATCTGTTATTGTTTGTTTTGACCCTCGGTCATTGCCGGCCGCGGTGCGGCCAACCCCGCTCTTTGTTCCTATTTGCTTCCGGACCCTTCGGCCTTCGGCCCGGGTCCGCTTCTATTCATTTCACCTTCATATATATATCCTGTATACTACATTATAGTACCTTAGCTCTAATATCGATTTGACCACGACCCCTAAGTCCTGACCCCAACAAGGCAGCCCCAGTAAGTTCGAAATGAGGGCCAAGAGACAACTAGGGGCACAGCACTCCCTTTAGAGTTGCTGAGGCCAAATGCCCTACCCTCGGGCCTTGTCTGAGGCATCGCGGCCATCGCGGCCCTTAGCGGTCCGCATCGGCGACCTTCGGTGCCCGACCCCGGATCAGTATCTAACACCCTCCTTTGTCTTGCAGAGCAAGTTAAGACAGTGAGTCGTACCAGCCTGGCCAACAACTTCCTGGTTCACAGTGCAGTCACGTACTTCTCGATATGCAAGAACACCCCACCGCTTGACAGCCTCCAAATCATTGCGCAGCTCCACTGCCGGACCTGACAGCCGTATGGATGTGCCTAGCCACACATCAGGGGTACGATGGCCCTCCTTAGTAGCGCTAGGTGGGACGATACAAGGTATGGATTGAAATGACAGTGGAAGAGGATGATGAGGTTGGTAGTACGAGAAAGGGATTCTGACAAACACCACCTTCAGTGGAGCATGGGCGCCGATGGGGAACGGGACTCTCATGGTCTTCCATTTTGTTCCCTCCAAGGCCGCACTAGAATGCAGGCCTTCCTCGTATTTCAAGTCTACCCAGACTCCTTGCAGCACGCTCTTCACCTTGGCAGAGAAGTCCTTGAATGGGATAGGAACCCCCTCAGGGGCAAGCGCTGTGAGACATTGCTCCATCACAAAGAGCTGAGCAGACAAATCATTTGATGGAGCTGCGAGCAGGGTTTGCTGCGGCGGACGGGGCCGCGCAATGATTTCTGTAACAGCAAAGTCAAATCCTATAGTGATGTCTCCCCTTGCAGCGCCTTGCAAATTCTTGGAGTGAGTGCGGCTCCGTATTTCCTGCTGAAGGGCATGTTCTGCTACCGAATCAAGCATGGGCAGACATGATCGAAAGACGGCAAAGCGGTTGTCACCATGTTCCACTCTCCAATGGGGGACTCCCCACTGTTCCAGAGTGAGAGCATATGCCTGGGCGGAGGCACTAAGGTTGGAGTCATGGACCTCAGTACGGGTGCCGTCTGAACCATCAAAGATGGTCCTGATGGCCTCTTCCTGAAGCGGCCAGGTCAGAAGCTCGTTACCACCCAATATGGCACATGCATCAAGGGAAATCAGGAGGCAGTAGCGAAAATGCCCTCATAGCTCTCCAATCCAGTGTTCAATCTCGCCAACCGTTTCATGGTGATAAGTCTCGGGCTGCGCAATCATTCGGGCTTGGAGAAGCTTCTGAAGATAGGCTTCCGATTCAGGCTTCAGTATCGCCATGGTTTCACGATGTTTGGGGAGGATCTCGGCATGGCAGAGATGAGAGACAGTGCTCTGGACACGGCGAAGAAGTTGACTCAGCACAGACTGCGTGCCCATGATCCATTCCCTCCACTCAGACGTTGGGAGCCAATTCAGATTATCAGCAGAACGTTGCAAGTCAATGTTAAGGATCGGTGCTTCGATATAATGAAATGGGGGGTGGCGCTCAATGAGCACGAGGTGTGGACGAAGCGGGTCGAAGCTGACTGGTCTCTGGCAAAAGTCCACGAACTCCCGATACTTCAGAGAAGTGTTTAAGACACTTGTTCTTGCTGGAGGGGTGGCATCAACCCAGGAAGCATATGTTCCATTGTAAGGACAAACATCACGGGTATTTACTGCCACGATGTGGATTGCTGTCTGACGGTAAGCTCGCTTGACAGCGGATTCTGAGGTAACCTTATGTGTTAGACTGGAATGGCCTGATAAATGAAAACGGTATACCACTTATGAGATAGCCCTTCCCTCCATTTTCGAACATGGTCTGCAGCCTCGGGAGTGGGGAAAGGGGCCGAATGGGTAGAGGGGGGCTCCTGTCAATATCATCATGTAGTGTGAGAATGGCAAATAGAACGCTGTAATATACTGTGCATACCTCGAATAATCATAGCTTCTTTCAGCAAGGACATTGTACCCCCTTCCTGCACCATGATCTGTTCGACTGAGGTGAACGATGCGACATCTGAGGCTGGTGCTCTTGGTCTCGGTGGTGGCTCAAAGGAGGATGGCAGGGGTGGACGAGAGGGTGGGAATCCTGACGTGTATTGGGAGAAAGGGGCTGAGGTATGGGCTAGGTTGAACTGTACATCTTCCCCGACTGGAGGTGAACGAGGGCGATGCCGTTCTGGGGGATAACGAGGTGCTCTCGCACCTGACAGCAGCTTATCGGAGGATGGCAGGGGAGGAGGACGAGAGCGTAGGTTTTCTGACCAGTTAAGGGGGGTCAGGATGGAGGTGTGGCCTGATGGCATTCTGGCTTGGTGGAACCAGACATCTTCCGTGCCTGGAGACGAAAGATGGCGATGGTGTTCAAGTGCATGTGGAGACTCTGCACGATGGCGTCTAAGGCCCCCCGATCCTGAATGGCCCGAGAAGCGAGAGGAATGATGAGAGAATTCCTCGGATGAAGACACCGGATGCGGAGGCCAGGGGCTTTGATGAACTGGATGTTGCTCCACCGCTTGCAGGTTGTGCGGATGGTAAGAGCTTTGTACATGCTCTGGTGATCTGCTTCTTCGTGCAGGTGAGCGTTGACATGAGGAACGGCCTCGCTGATGCCATTGATGTGTGAGGCTCGTGCTCTGAGAGGGGAC